GCACGTACCCTCATACCTGGCTGGCAGGTTCGTAGGCAACCAGTCGATGTTTCTCTCCCTCTCTCTCTCCTTCTCTCTCCCTCCCTCCTTTCTACTCTCTCTAAAACCAATGAGGGGAAATATTCTCAGATAAGAATTAGGAAAACACACACACACACACAACAAAAATGATGACAATTTTTAAGGGCAAAGGACCTGAATCACATTTTCCAAGAAGATTGCTGATCACCAATGTTTCTGTCTCTCTCTCCCTCTCCCTTCCTCTCTCTGAAATCAATGAGAGAGAAAAAATACATTTTTAAGAAGGAAGACATACAAATGACCAACAAGCATCTGAAAAGATATTCACCATTATGATCACTAAGAAATGCAGGTCAAACCACAAGAAGCTACTGAAGCACAGTAACCTCCATCTTGGATAAAAACTGCTGTTTAAAATTTAACCGTGCTATTCTGGCTTCTGTAAACATTTGCTTGCTTAAATAATAGGGGAAAGTAAGACTGCTCCCATTCCAGGGAAGCCATAAACTGTGCCCAGACAGAGTTGTCAGTGCTGGTGCCAGGCCAGGCCTTGAGATCTGGTCTCATGGCCTGTCCCAGCACAGGGGACTTTTTCTCAGAAGGTCCGCAAGTCTCATTCCAAATTTGGAAAACAAAGAGCTGAAAAACATACACTGAGTGGCCAGATTATGATGATCTCTGAATGCATAATAATCTGGCCACTCAGTGTATATATCTATATCTATCTATCTATCTATCTATCTATCTATATTTATAGGAGAGGTCCGGTGCACAAATTTGTGCATGGGTGGGGTCTGGCCAGCCTGGCCAGGGGGAATGAGATATAGGTGGTTGGCCAGCCTGCCTGCTGGTCGAACTCCTGATCGAGGGGACCATTTGCATATTAGCCTTTTATTATATAGGATATACACTGAGTGGCCAGATGATTATGCGTTCAGAGATCATCATCTGGCCACTCCATGTATAAATAAGGGAGATTTCCACCATATTGGACCCCAGAATTGAGAAGTAAGATTTCCTCTGGCCCGCTAGCCCTAGCAAAATGGACAGGACTCCAAACGCATTTGGCTTATCAATGAAGGCGCCTTCTAATTGACAATATGACACTGCCATTCGGATGGACGTCACCAAAGTGCCAGGGAATAACAAGTGTTTGTGCGGAAAGAGAGAGAAACCAACTCCCCACAGGGCTGGTGGGATGTGAAATGGGGCAGCCGCCCGCCTCCAAACAAAGCAACCACGCGACCCAGCAACTCTCACCCAGGTGTGTGTGTGTGGGGCGGGGACGGGATGAGAAAGCATGTCTGGACCGACTCGGGCACTGTGGTCATGGCAGCAGCTGGCCCCGTCGTGGCGACAGCCCGGTGCCTGGCAATGGGTGAGAGATCAAACGCCTCACCCTCCGGCACACACACGGAGGGTGTTACTCAGCCCTAAAGGGGCAAAGTCCTGATGCGCTAGCCCGTGGGTGGCCCGCAAAAGCGTTTTACAAAGAAAAAGAAGAACCCTGACCGGTGTGGCTCAGTGGATAGAGCGTTGGCCTGTGGACTGAAAGGTCCCGGGTCCGATTCCGGTCAAGGGCATGTACCTTGGTTACAGGCACATCCCCAGCTGTTGGTGTGCAGGAGGCAGCTGATCGATGTTTCTCTCTCATGGCTGTTTCTAGCTCTCTATCGCTCTCCCTTCTTCTCTGTAAAAAAAAAAAAAAAAAAAAAAAAAAAAAAAAAATATATATATATATATATATATATATATATATATATATATATAGAAAGAAAGAAAAAGAAGACAGACTCAAGGTCATCCAAGGTATGACCCCTTTCACAGGCTCCACCCAGAAGAGACACTTCCATGGAGACAGCTGGGTGGTGACCCGGGCGGGGGGGGGGGGGGGGGGGGGGGGACAGGGAAGTGGGGGTGATTGCCTAATGGCTCTGGGTGCTTTCTGGGGGAAGGAAAGTTGACTCTAGGACAGCGGTGGTTGCACAACATGGAGAGAGCAGTAAATGCCAACGAAATGCACGTTTCTGAGCGGCTAACGGCGCGTCCTGGCAATTCCTCCCGGAGCGGCCACACGCGTTGGGAGGGGCTCGGCTCAGGAACATGGGGCCGGGCCGTGTCCCGTGTCCCCGCTCCGGGGGCAGGAGGCTCCGGCTTCTCAGCAGCCGCCTCTGTGCTGCGGGCGCGCCCCGACATGCCCCCTGACCCCCCCCCCCCCCAAAAAAAAAAAAAAAGACTAGGGCTTACTGTAAGGTTTCAGTCGTTTAAGTAACCTGTGTCCAAACATTAGTTCACCACAGATTTCGACACGGTCACCTGATGCCACGCAGGACAAAGCCGTCAGTTACCTAAGAGGCAGGGCGGTGGCAGTGCCTCTGGGGGGCGGGCCGGTCCCACGGCCGAGTTTTATTGTTTCCAAAGCCCGTTCCCCCCAGGGGCTGTGAGAAACGGGACAGAAAACAGGAAGCTGTGGGCAACCCACGGGGGGGGGGGGGGGGGTGGGGGCAGTGGGGGGGAAGCACGGTCAGCTGGAGTTGTGTCTGAGGAAGCCTACACCCGCGTTTACTAGAAAAAGACGAAGTCTCCTCCCGGATAGTCTGAGGAAGCAGAGTCGACCACGTCCAACAAACTAGATAAAGTGTGGGGGGAGTGGGGGAACAGAGCCCAATGGATGTGCCAACACAAACACAGAGTCATCAACACAGGGTCATGGGGAAAGGACCAAAACCATGAGCATGTCCCTCCGGGGGCTTAGCAGTGAGAGAGAGAGAGAGAGAGAGAGAGAGAGAGAGAGAGAGAGAGAGCGCCTGTGGGGCACAAGGAAAAGAAGGCGAAGGGAAGCTAACTCAGCCTCGGGCCAGGGCTGTGCACAGCATGAATGTCCCCGGAGAGGACGGGCGAGAGTTGAGGGACAGAAATATTGTTTGAGGAAAGAAGGCTGACCCTGATCGGTGTGGCTCAGTGGATAGAGTGTTGGTCTGGGGACTGAAAGGTCCCAGGTTCGATTCCGGTCAAGGGCATGTACCTTGGTTGCGGGCACATCCCCATTAGGGGGTGTGCAGGAGGCAGCTGATCGATGTTTCTAACTCATCGATGATGTTTCTAACTCTCTATCCCTCTCCCTTCCTCTCTATAAAAATCAATAAAATATATTCTTTTAAAAAAGAAGAACAAGAAGGCTGACGGGTCACAAACGTGGTGGAGGATGATAACCTGGCGTCATTCCACACATGGAAAGGAATCGCTATCCCAGCAGGTCCCGGCCTCTGCCTCGCCACACGCCACTGTGCTCCCGCCCCCTTCATCAGCCGGGGCAGGGCACCGGCTGAGCTGCGCCCCGCGGCCAGGGGGCCAGGCTGGCCCCCCATCCCCTTCTGCACTGGCCTGTGCAGCCATCAGGACTGTAGCAGGTGCATCCCAACCCCCTGCCCTCTCTCCAGACCAGGCGCCAGGCAGGGCTCCCTCCACGCCCGGACGGCCGGTGCACGTTGGCTCCGCTGGGTCAGCGGGTCCAGGGGAGCCCAAGGCCACATCCGCTCTTTCAATAGGACCGTTTCCCATGGGAACGGCCACCGCTGGCACCGGAGCGGCCTGGGGGAGGCGCTCTCAGGACCAGAACTTGGAAGCTGAGGCCCAGCACGGATGCCAGACCTCTGGGCCACGGGGAGACGAGGGGCCCCGGGAGGCTGGTCTGCAGCCTTTTGTAAAAATATATATGTATTTTATTGATTTCTTTTTCTTTTTTTTTTTTTTACAGAGAGGAAGGGATAGAGAGTTTGAAACACCGATGAGGGAGAAACATCCATCAGCTGCCTCCTGCACACCCCCTACTGGGGATGTGCCCGCAACCAATGTACATGCCCTTGACCGGAATCCAACCTGGGATCCTTCAGTCCACAGGCCGACGTTCTATCCACTGAGTCAACCTGGTTAGGGCTGGTCTGCAGGCTTGACCTGCTGGGCTGACAGGGGGAAGGCCAGGGATCCTGAGGGCCAGGCCAGGCCTGTGCCATGGGCACTCACACCCGCCTCCACTCAGGTGAGGCCTGTGGATGGCGACCGGCACAACTTGACCCTTTAGTCAGAGTGGTGTCCTGCTCCTCCGCACCCGACCGCTCTCCAATCTCCAAGAAGGGGCCGGCCCCAAGACCGGGGTCAACCTCCACCTCATACCCTGCCTGTAACCCTCCACACCTCTGCAAAGTGATGGCGGGCAGGGGGGAGGGAGGAGGGCGGGGCACCTGGAGGCTGCTGCCCAATGCCCAGCATCCTCCCTCTCCCACCCAGCTGCCTCCTCCAGTATCCAGCGCCAACATCCCTGTTCCGGGCCCCGCCCTCCGCTCCCCACCTCCGCTCCCCACCCCCGCCCCCGCCAGAGCAGGCCTGCGGGGCCCCTGGGACAGGCAATCGGGGCTGCTGGGCCCAGGCCCAAACAGGAGGCACACACCCCACCCACAGCCTGTGCTTCGGAGGAGAGGCCTGTGCCAAGTGAGGGTGGGCTGCGGGGCGGGGCTCACGCTGGGCTGGAGCGCGGGGACCAGGGGACCACAGGGCCCTGGGATGAGTGACAGACAGGAGACTCAAAGAAGATGGTAGGATTTCCTCCCAATTTGTTCTTTTTTTTTTTTTTTTTTAATATATTTTATTGATTTTTTACAGAGAGGAAGAGAGAGGGATAGAGAGTTAGAAACATCGATGAGAGAGAATCATTGATCAGTTGCCTCCTGCACACCCCCTTACTGGGGATGTGCCCGCAACCAAGGTACATGCCCTTGACCGGAATCGAACCTGGGACCGTTCAGTCTGCAGGCCGACGCTCTATCCACTGAGCCAAACAGGTTTCGGCTGAATTTGTTCTAATGTCACCTGACGTCATGGGTGTCTTTCACCCTCCTAGGTCTTTCAGCCACATCACCAATGTTGAAAACGCAGGAAACGGACACTTCTGAGAAATCACAACCCCCCTCACCCTCGAGGGAGGGGCCTGAGCGGCCCCAGCTGCGGCACCCACAGGGCTCCCGTCTCTGCCTCAGGACAAGTCCACCTTCTTCACCCGGGACCCCACCCGCTCCCCAAAGATGGAGATGACCAAGGGGGAACACGAGCTGGCCTTCATGGGGGCTCCCCAGCACTCAGGGCCCGTGATGTACACCGTGGTCGATGTCCCGACTGACACCGTGGTGCGTGACCACGTCGTCTGGTCCCTGTTCAGCACCCTCTTCCTCAACCCCTTCTGCCTGGGCTTCGTGGCGTTCGCCTACTCCGTGAAGGTGGGTGTGTGCACGGGGTCTCCCCGGAGAGTGTGTGCGAGTCCCCCTGGGTCTGCTGCCCCGACGACCTTGGGGTCAGGGGACCACAGGTGTATGAGCACCTATGTGTGTGTGCAGGTCACGGTGAGGCTGATGGTGAGGGTTAGGGTTAGGGTTAGCTGTGAGGAGGGCCCCCTGGCCTGGCCTGGCCTGGCCTGCTGAGGCTCCAGGGAACAGGAGGGGTCTCTGACCTGGCTGAGGGCAGGTGGAGGCTGGTCTGGGTGGGGAGCAGCCAAGGGTGGGGCGGGCCTGAGTCACAGCACCTGGCTGTCCTCAGGGCCCCTCTGCTGAACCAAACCCAACATTGTCACTGGTAATAATATGTAAAGGGAGCTGGCCAACCTTGATGGTGGCTCTGAATTGTCTGAGCTATTAACTCATTGTCAAGGTTGAGTCACTGTAGTGGTAAAAGGTAAAAAGGGCTGGCTAACCAAAACCAAACATTGTTCGCTGGTAGTAAAATGTAAAAAGAGCTGGCCAACCTCGATGGCTCTGAATGGGCGGAGCTATTTAACTCACCTTCTAGTTGAGATAGTGGTGGTTGAGGCAACTTGAATTTGTTGATCATATGTAAATTCTTGTGGATTTCCTGTTGTTGGAATTTCCCACCTAAGAGATGTCTTTGTCTCAGAATCTCGGGGAATGGCATTCCCGCCTAGCCCCCATTTTCCCAAATTAACTATTTTCTAGCCTCTTCATTTTAGTGTGCGACCTTCTCCAGAAACCAGACTCTGAGTGGGCCCTAAACCAGGCGGGTCGTGGTAAGGGATCCCACACCCCTCCAGACCTCTCACCATCTCTTCTCCCCCAGTCTAGGGACCGGAAGATGGTGGGAGACATGGTTGGGGCCCAGAGGTTTGCCTCCACTGCCAAGTGCCTCAACATCTGTACGCTGATCCTTGCCTTCCTTGCGTTGGTCAGTTTCCTCGTTTTCTATATCGTTGAATCTACTTCGAGCATTTCCCGGCAATACTGATGTCTTAAAGTTACAGAGGCCTCTGGTACCTGCCTGGAGCCGAGACTGTCATGTGCTCCCGGCTGGGTCTGCGATGGAGTTCAATAAAGCACATGTGTGTGACAAGGCTGTGTTTTCACCTGGGAGAGCCCCTGAGCCTGAGCCCATCCCCCCCCCCCCCCCCCCCCCCCCCCCCCCCCCGCCCGCTGCCCTGGGGTGAAGTGGGCTCAGGGCAGCCGCACCTTACCTGCACCTGGCCCCAAGCTGGGGGTAACAAAGAGAAAGGCTTGGGGGTGGGGGGAGTGTCCTTCCTTCCCAGAGGGATGAGCCCTGACCCAGGACAAGTTCATTTGGGGAACAGGAGCCCTGGACCAGAACACCCCTGGCCCCAAGATCCCCATCATCTCAGGCCGCCGGGTGGAGAGAGCCCAGGTGATCCCTGCTCTTCAGGCGGAAGGGGAAGCCGGGCCCTGACCCGGGATGAGCCCCGTCAAGGTTTCCCAGGGGCAGGCGCTCAGGGTGCCTCAGGACAGACCCTCCTGCAGCCAGCGGGGCGGAGCCGCGGGAGTGGGGCCGGACACACCTGCCCCTTGCTCCTGGGCACCGGACAGCTGGGTCCTCCCACCCCTCACCCGCGCCGCCTTCTCTGCCCCAACAGCAGCGCCCTGACGCCAGAGGTCCCCCTCGGAGCAGGATGGGGTCAGGCCCACGGGGGACCGTCCTGCAGCGGGGAGGCTGGCGGGCCCGCCGCTCCGGTCAAGGAAACGGATCTGAGGCCCAGAAGGGAGGCACAGCCTGTCCCTCTGCTCGCTAGGCCCCGCCCCATCCGTTAGGCCCCGCCCAGTCACTCCCGCCAATGGGGTCAAGCAAATTCCTGGCCCCGCCCAGGCTCCCTCCGCGCCCACCACGCAAGCCACGCCCACTGTACAAAGCCACGCCTACTGCGTGTGGGGCGCCCCCTCCGGGCGGGAGCGGCTGTTCCGCGGTCGGACCTCCCGCATCTCACGGTCGCGTCCCTGCGACCACGGCCGGCTGCACCGGGGCCTGCCGCTGCCCTGCCCGTTCTCCCAGGGTGCAGGCCACGGGCTCTGCCGGCCGCACCGGGGCGTCCCCCACCGGCGGCGCGTCAGTCCCAGGTCCCAACCCCTCGGGCGGCTTCCCTCCAGCGCGCAATGCCCTTCTGCCCGCTGCCCGCGGGGCTCTTCCCCCCCCCTCCCCCCCGCCCTGGGCGCGGAGGCCGGGATCCCCTGTCCCTGGAGAAGCGAAGCCTTCCTCCACCCGGAGGGGGGTCCGCCAGCCTCCCCCCTGCAGGACCATCCTCCCTGGGCCTCAGCCCTCCTGCTCTGACGGGGGACCCCGGGGCGGGGGGCACCTTCCTGCGACGCATCCTTCCCCCCCAGACAAAGCACAGCCGCTGGCTCAGGATTAGGTGCTGCAGGGTGGTCACAGCGGGTCTGACCAGAGAACCAGCGGGAACAGCTGCTGCCCACAGACCAGAGCCCGCAGGCCCACCTTCGAGCAGCTGGAGCCCAGGTGGCCAGGCCCAAGGGCAAGGCTCCTGCAGGGGTTCACCTCCCTGACACCAGCTCCGGCCACCTGGCCTCCAGCCTCTCCAGGCGCCTGTGCACGGCTGGGGGTCCGCACGGCTGGGGGTCGAGGTGAGGTCGGCTCCAGCCCACGGGCATCCAGGCCCTGGCAAAGGCTCAAGTCAAAGCCCCCTCCTGGCACTGGCAGCTCCAGCCAGCAGGCCCAGGCGGTTTGGTGGGATGATTGGTGCTTCCTCTCAGGGTTTCTGTCCATCGAGGCTGAGTCCCCTGTCCCTCCAGGGCCACTGGCTGCCCCTAACCCTGCCCCCTGCAGAGGAGCAAGGACAGAGCTGGAGGGCCGCTCAGGAGGGGCTGGGGGCCTGGGCTGCACCCCTGCCCCCACGTGCAGACACCGCGGCCTCCAGAGAGCCGGCCGGCCGCCCTCACCCAGCACCGCTGCTCCCAGCCACTCGGAGTCAGCGAGGCTTGTCCTGGGGCCAAGGCTGGGCTGGCCCAGTGCCCCTTGGGTCAGGGTCAGACACTGGGGAGGAGGGGATCCCTCCTAGGCTGCTGGTCCAGCCGCTGCTCCCAGCTGGAGGCCAGAGACCAGGGACATCTGAGAAAGTGCCAGGACCCCTCCGAGCCGCAAGGGGGGCTGTCTCTGGGGCGGGCTGGGGACCGGGCAGTGCCCCAGCCCAGGGAATGCCAGCATGGTCACGTACAGGTGCACTTTATTGAGCTCAGCTGCTGACAGGTGTGTGACAGGTGCAGGATGAAGGAAGGGGCGGGTGCCCGGGCAGGCCGGCGGGGGTGAGGGTGGGTGGACGCAGTGGCACCTGCGTGACAGTGACTAGTAGCCCCTGCGGTTCCCCATGCCCTGCGCCAGCGCCTGAGTGTATAGCGGGAGCACAAGGGACATGAGAACGATGAGTCCGATGGTCATCAGGATGCCCAGGACCAGGGTCGCGATGTTGAGGCACCTGGCGGTGGACGCAAAGCTCTGCGCCCCAATCACGTCTCCCACCATCTTCCGATCCCTAGACTGGGGGAGAAGAGATGGTGAGGGGTCTGGAGGGGCCCTGGGCACAGCCAGGCGCTGTGACTCAGGCCCACCCCTGGCTGCTCCAGCCCAGACCAGCCTCCACCTGCCCTCAGCCAGGTCAGGGACCCCTCCCTGTTCCCTGGATCCCGAGCAGGCCAGGCCAAGGGGGCCTCCTCACAGCCGCTCAGCCTCCCCAGAACCTCAGGGCTCCTCTCCCCCAGTCCTGGCCGCTTTGCTGGCCGCTCACCGCGCCCCTGCCCCCTGCCCCCCAGGGCTCCGCATCTTTGAGGACTTTGCCTTTTTCTGGACCAGACCGAGGCCTGAGGGGCAGGTGTGGAGGGCGGAGCCCTGTACTTGGGTTGAAAGGAGAGCTCCAGGGGTGGGGACAGGTGGCGACCCTCCACGCAGGCCCCCCCACACCGGGACTGTCACTGGATGAGCTGCTGCCTGAGCCCCCCCGCCCCCGTCTCCCCCAAGCACATCCACACAGAAAGCGCTCACGAGGGCTCCCCATCCCAAGGCCGTCGGGGCAGCAGACCTGGGTGGGGGGCTCACACATGCTTTTCGGGGAACCCTCCCCCCACCCCCGGACACACACACCCACCTTCACGGAGTAGGCGAACGCCACGAAGCCCAGGCAGCAGTAGTTGAAGAAGAGGGTGTTGAACAGGGACCACACGACGTGGTCGGGCACCACCGTGTCGGTCGGGACGTGGACCACGGTGGACATCACCGGCCCCGAGTGCTGGGGAGCCCCCAGGTTGGTCACCTCGTGCTGCTCCTTGAACATCTCGGGTTTGGGGAGCGGGTGGGGTCCCGGGTGAAGAAGGTGGATGTGTCCTGGGGCAGAGACGGGAGCCGTGTGGGTGCCGCTGCTGGGGTGCTCAGGAGGTGCCTGCTTCCCCATGTTTATAGGCGGTAATGGGCCGGTGAGGAGGCGTGTCCGAGCAAGGAGGGAGTGTCTCATAAACCTTTAGGGTGCTGTTCTCGGGGCTGAGTCACCGCATTGCTGTGCTCTAGGTCCTTCTAGCGGCCTTCCCGGAGGCTTGGGGTGTGGCCTTGCTGGGGAACAGGCCTGGGACAATAAGTAATCTGATATTGGAGGCATTGACTCTTTGTCTTACTCTGCATTTAAGTTCTTACCGGACAAAGCTTGTCCCCAGCGCACCTCTCAGCAGCTGTGTCGCCCCACCTGGGAGCCACAGAATCTGTGCCCTGGGTTCCCCCCTCCTCCCCCCCAGTGTCGGATTTAAGAAAGTGCGTGAGCCCTGACCAGTTTGGCTCAGTGGATAGAGCATCGGCCTGCGGACTGAAGGGTCCCACGTTCGATTCTGGTCTGGGGCATGTACCTTGGTTGCGGGCACATCCCCGGTAGGGGATGTGCAGGAGGCAGCTGATGAATGTTTCTCTCTCATCGATGTTTCTAACTCTCTCTCCCTCTCCCTTCCTCTCTGAAAGTGTGAGTGAGCCCTAAGCGGTTTGGCTCAGTGGATAGAGCGTCGGCCTGCAGATTCAAGGGTCCCAGGTTCGATTCTGGTCTAGGGCAAGTACCTTGGTTGGGGGCGTGCAGGAGGCAGCTGGTCAATGTTTCTCTTGCACAGTGACAGCTGTCCATCCCCAGGGTTCTAGAACCATAGTCTGACACGCGTGGTTCTGTCCCCGTGTGTACAAAACCTTGTTGCTCTGAGGACATGGGAGCCCCAGGGTCCCAGGCCCCACCCCCCGTCTGCAGTGTCCTCTGACCTGGAGCGTCTCCTCCAGCTGGCCACGTGGCTCAGCGAGCCAGGAGCGCCAACTCTATGTGTCCGTGATGGCCATTTTCAAGTTTTCCTGAGCCCTCCAAAGATTTCATGTGATTTTAAAAGTATGTTTTGTTGATTCTTAGAGAAGGAAGGGAGAGGAAGAAAGAGAAACATCCAGCTGCCTCCTGCACACCTCCCGCTGGAGACTGATCCGGCAACCTGGGCTTCTGCCCTGACTGGGAGTCAAACCAGCAGTCTCTTGGGTCAGCACACAACCATTGAGCCACACCAGCCGGGCGAAAGTATTTCTTTTTTTCTGTCTGTCTTTCCTCCTCTTCCTTCTCCTCACCCAATGATATTTTCCCATTGACTTTTAGAGACAGTGGAAGGGAAGGGGAGAGACAGAGAGAGACATCCATGTGAGAGAGACACATTGATTGGTTGCCTCCTGCATTTGCCCCTACCAGGGCTGTGGCCCGGGAGGAGCCAGCAACCGAGGTAAGTGCCCTTGACCGGAATCGAACCCAGGACCCTTTGGTCCACAGGCCGATGCTCTATCCACTGAGCCAGGGCAACATTTCATTTTTATTTTATTTTATTTTATTTTTTAATATTATTTATTGATTTTGTATAGCGAGGAAGGGAGAGAGATAGAGAGTCAGAAACATCGATGAGAGAGAGTCATCGATCAGCTGCCTCTTGCACACCCCCTACTGGGGGTATGCCCACAACCAAGGTACATGCCCTTGACCGGAATCGAACCCGGGACCTTTCAGTCCCCAGGCCGATGCTCTATCCACTGAGCCAGGGCAACATTTCATTTTTAAAAGGAAACATAGTCTGCTGAGGATGTGGGGAGCAGGCTTTGGGGATTAGGGCTGCACTTTTTCATCAAACGGCCCCACCCCAGTTTCCAGGTACACGGGGGCCACCACAGCCAAGGGTCCCCTCTCCTCCCACCCCCAGACCTCCATCTGGACTCAACGCGGGGTTCTTCCCTCCCCTGAGCTCACACAGACACTTGTCCCATCAGAACCCCGTGGGAGAGGAGGCTGTGCTCCTTGGTGCCTTTACCTTCCACAGGGCCCCGCCACCATCTGGATGGTCTCCTCCCATGGCCACGGCCTGTGCTCCATGGACAGTGTGGCTCAGTGGATAGAGCCTCAGTCTGTGGACTGAAGGGTCCAAGGTTCCATTCTGGTTAAGGGCACATGCCTGGGATGTGTGCTCCATCCCCAGTGGGGGGCATGCAGGAGGCAGCCGATCATGATTCTCTCTCATTGTTGATGTTTCTCTCTTCCTCTCTGAAATCAATAAAATTTAAATAAAATTTAAAATTAAATAAAATTAAAAAAAACAAACAAACACAACAAAGACAGTGTCATATATTTGAAATGGTCAGTATTTCCCTTGAATTGTTAGTTCTTTTTGTGTCTTTCTTAGAAATTCTTTCCTACTTTAAGATCATGCATTGATTATTATTATTTTTTAAACATATTTTATTGATTTTTCACAGAGAGAAAGGGGGAGAATAGAGAGCTAGAAACATCCATGAGAGAGAGACGTTGACCAGCTGCCTCCTGCACATCCCCCACCAGGGATGTGCTTGCAACCAATGTACATGCCCTTGACCGGAATCAAACCTGGGACCCTTCGGTTCGCAAGCCGACACTCTATTCACTTAGCCAAACCGGTTTTGGCTAAAAATAGATTTTAATTGTTTTTTTTATATTATTATTTTAAAATATATATTTTATGATTTTGTACAGAGAGGAAGGGAGAGAGATAGAAACATCGATGAGGGAGATACATTGACCAGCTGCCTCCTGCACATCCCCCACCAGGGATGTGCCCACAACCAAGGTATATGCTCTTGACCGGAATCGAACCCAGGACCCTTCAGTCCCCAAGCTGATGCTCTATCCATTGAGCCAAACTGGTTTTGGTGATTTTAATTATTTTTTTACAGAGAGGAAGGGAGAGGGATAGAAAGTTAGGAACATCGATCAGCTGCCTCCTGCACACCCCCCCACTGGGGATGTGCCTGCATCCAAGGTACATGCCCTTGACTGGGATCAAACCTGGGACCCTTCAGTCCGCAGGCTGAGACTCTATCCACTGAGCCAAACTGGTCAGGGCATGAATTTATTATTTTTTAACAATAAATTGAAATTTTATTATTACATTTTTTGCCAGCACCTCTGAGCCTCTGGTACAGCTGGAGAGCCTCTGGGAGGGTGGGTCAGCGCCCGCACCATTTCCTGCTTCCCTGTGGTAAAAGCTGTAAAAGCTGTATATGCGGTAGATGCCCTCCCGGAACGCCCAGGAACCATTGACGGAAAGTCCCTGCTCTCCCAGGGTGGGGCGCACCTTCGCCTCAAGTCAGTGTCCTGGCGGTCAGGGGTCCAAGTGCGGGCTGGGCTCTCTGTCTGCTCCATGGTTATGGAGTGTTCCCTGCGCAGCCCGCGCTGTCTTCCCGCCGCCAGGTCCTCGCCTCTTGCTTTGTTTTGTTTTGTTAAAAAAAAATATATATATATGTATATATGTGTGTGTGTGTGTATATATATATATATATATATATATATATATATATATTAATATATTTTATTGATTTTTTATATGAGGAAGAGAGAGAGATAGAGAGCCAGAAACGCCGATCAGAGAGAAACATCAACCAGCTGCCTCCTGCACACCCCCTACTGGGGATGTGCCCACAACCAAGGTACATGCCCTTGATTGGAATCGAACCTGGGACCCTTTAGTCCGCAGGCCCACGCTCTATCCACTGAGCCAAACAGGTTAAGGCTTTGTAAATATTTTTATTGGTTTCAAAGAGGAAGAGAGAGAGAGGAGAGAGGAGAGAGGAGAGAGAGAGAGAGAGAGAGAGAGAGAGAGAGAGAGAGAGAGAGAGAGAGAGATTAATAATGAGAGAGAATCATGGATCTGCTGCCTCCTGCACACCCCCTACTCGGGGGGTGGGAGGGCTGGGGATGGAGCCCGCAACCCATGCCCATGGCCCAAATCGAACCTGGGACCCTTTAGTCCGCAGGCCCACGCTCTATCCACTGAGTCACACCATTCAGGGCTGGTCCTCAGCCTTTGATCACTCGGCCTGACAGCTGGTTCTTGGTCTTGCAAACGGGGTTCCTCTGCTGCCCCCTCCTGGCCGTGAGCCATGTGCACACAGCCCTTCTGCTGCCCAGCACCCCGGGACACTGGTATTCACTTTCTGCCCACCTGCTGGGAAATGGGTGATTCTGCTCACTGGGTCTTGATGCGCCCCTCACCCCCCTACCCCTCACCCCTACCTCTCACCCCCCTCACCCCCACCCATTGCACTGCAATGAGCACTCTCAAAGCAGTACTGGTGGGTTTTATTTATTTATATTTATTTATTTGCATACTCACCGGATAATATGTTTATTGATTCTTTTTAAAAAATATATTTTTCTTGATTTTAGAGAGGAAAAGAGAGAGAGAGCTAGAAATATCAATGATGAGAGAGAATCCTTGATCAGCTGCCTAGGGGACCAAGCCTGCAAACCCCCCCCCCCCCCCCCCCCCCCGCCACTCCCTCCACCACCCCCATGTGCCCTTGACCAGAATCGAACCCAGGACCCTTTAGTCCCCAGCCAGTGCTCTAGCCACTTAGCCATACCAGCGAGGGCTGTTTTCAGTCCCTTTGGGTGTATTTCCAGAAGTGGAAAAGCTGGACTCACACAGAGACAGAGATGGATGGAGAGAAACAGAGACAGAGAGAAACAGACAGATGAAGGAGATGGATAGATGGAGAGAGACAGAAAGAAACACACACACACACACAGAGACAGAGAGACACATAGAGAGGCAGAGACAGAGAGAAACAGACAGATGAAGGAGATGGATAGATGGAGAGAGACAGAGAGAGACACACAGAGAGAGACAGAGACAGAGAGAAACAGAGAGAGAGACAGAGACAGAGAGAAACAGACAGATGAAGGAGATGGATAGAGACAGAGAGAGAGACAGAGAGAGACACACAGAGAGAGAGGGACAGAGAGACAGAGAGAAACAGACAGATAAAGGAGATGGATAGAGACACAGAGAGAGACAGAGAGACAGAGACAGAGACAGAGACAGAGAGACAGAGACGTTGCTGAGCCCATCTGAGAGGAGGAGAGGGCCCTTCCTGCTCCCAGTC